TAAGAGCAGGACATACTACTACACAACTCCATTTAAGAAAATGGGAGAGTTTGAATCTTCAAGAAAATGCTGAAACTCTTACAAGCCCAAAGCTACATTGATGAAAATGTGCAAGTAGCCTTTTGAAGAAATACTTGGTGCTAAAAAGACCCTCATTTCACACGAAAAAGTTGAAAACAAACAAACCAAAACACCTAACTAACCAAAGGTTGCAGTAAGAAAAAAAATTAGAGTAGCTTTTTCCCCAAATTATGCCTACTTATAAGCAAAGGTTCATTTACATCTCAAAGAATTCTGAGATCAAGACCGGGTGTCTTATCAGAAGATGTAAGTTAACCAAGCTCAAGATATTAGGCTTGTTACAAAAACAACTTGGTCAAAGACAAAGCGTGTGCTGAAAGAAATCAAAGCAGATAATGTAACGGATCTAAGAGATGAGTCAAGACAAAGTGCACGCAGAAGGTCCTGCAAACAGCATTATGAGAAGTACCTAAATGTGTTTCAGCTCTAACCTTAAGAGAAACATGTAGTTTCTTACCAAGTCTTCACTTCTTTTATTCTTTGTGCTTTTTTAAAGTTAAGCTACTTCTTGTTTTTAAAAAAGTCTACAGCAAGAAGCAGATGAACTAAGTCTGCTCTGTTGAGAAGTTATAGCCATCTACAAAATGCAATATAATATAAAATGGTGCTTGTGATAGGAGAAATTTTATGATTCCAGCCTGAGACAAGCAAAAGCCACTTGTGCACTTTGGAAAAAAGAAAGTCACGTACAAATAACCATGTGAACTCACTTACTCTAACACAGCACTGTTGACACACGCTCCACCATTCAGGGCCACCCAACAGAGTTTAGTTACTGACATGTGTAAATTCTAACACAGTTCTATTCCAAAACAGAAATCTTGTTTAGCTTCTGGAATGAAAGGCATGTTGTTAAGACCTGTTGCTTGCAACTGAAATGATGCAGCACTTAGCTTCTTTCAAATATTCTGGTGTTAACTAATGGGCTTGGTTTTTTTTCCTTCCAGAGCTCAGTAATGACTACGAATAAAAAAAGCACTAAAATATACCAGCTGATTTACACAGAAATGTATTACTGAACAAAGATTAAGAAGAAAACAAAAAGGGTTTTGCTTCTAAATCAAGGTTAATAGGGTTAAAGTAAGCTAAAATAACTCCTTAAAAAGCATTTAAACAAGATTTCAGAATCTATACGTTTATTTCACTACAAATTGCAGATTTCCAAAGAAATAGAAACTAGCATTGAGTTCATTCTGTAAGCATCTAACATGCAGGATCTATTACATCATAATACTACTGCACCACTTCACTGCCAACTGCTACAGAATTCCAGACACTGAATATTAACAGTAACAGAATTTAAATGTTTAAGTGCTAATAAACTATAAAAGCAACATTACAGTATCATTTAAGTGCTTGCATTTCATGCATTTGAGAGTAGTTTTAAGTTTGTGATGGCTTTCTCATTGTCATTGTCAACTTCTGTAATCAATATAACTGTTAGAACATAATTGCAATTTTATTTCAGCTGTGGAACATCTGAGAGGGACGAGTATTCACTTCTTGCAATTTTTAGCACAGAAATAGAAGTTAGTAATAATTAAGATTCTAAAATCTCAATACAGAAAAACTCACCCTAAAAATAATTAATCTCACTAGACTTCTCTCATTTGAAGTGCTTGAACTGTTTTTCCAGATGTTATTTTTCTGCTTTTTGTTGTTCTTAGTATAGATTGAGCTGTAAAGATTCTTACCTTACTACAGGATCACTTTCCAGTAACTCGGTGAGTCGCTGCAGTTGTTCAGGTTGAATGGATCGTCCCAGCAGGGCTTCAGTGTTAGTGTAGATTAGAAATGCTGACACAGTTCCTAACAAAGTTCCAACACCTAGAGACCCCACACTGTCATAATAAGGATTTCCTAAACAAGACACGTCAAATTAGTTTCACTGAGCATTTCTAAAACATAGCAGGTAATTCAGATTTCACACTGAAAAGAGTACATAGTTTTGGAGGTTTTCTGGGGTTTTTTTGGTTTTTGCTTTTCGGTGGGATTTTTTTTGGTTTGGGTTTTGTTTTGGTTTTTTTTTTTAATGCACTGGAAATTCTTTCCTAGGAAGGAACAAGATGAAGCTAGAAGAAAACAAGTTATCTTGAGATAAAGTCTCAAGTCCCTTCTGTCCCTCAGCCACTCTAGTCTCCTGCAGGACTAAATAAATGAGTAAACTCTTGCCAGCTATTTGGGTTTGTGTGTATAGATTTACCTTTATTAATATAAAATTATATACACCTAGACACAGGTAGTAGCACAAACGCCTGTGTTCTTTTACCAGTAACTAAAAAAATTTGCAAGTATTAACCACTTCTGGAATACAGTACTTACTACATAAGTTTTAAACTCATATTCATTCATATTCAGATTTGTAGAAACAGTAATGTATTTTTAAGTTTATGAAGGAAACTACAGATGGAATAAAAAACCTGACTTCTATATAAAAAATGAAACTTGCAATCAACTCATTAGAAGCCACAAAGAAACAAAATTACCATATTTATTTTTTTAAACAACTGAAAAGCCAAAGCCAATACTTCAAAAGGGACAAATAAACAAACTTCCCTCTTTAGAAAACTTAACTGTGCAGCAAAGACAGACTTTGAATCATTTGCCATATACATCATCCTACCTGCATGAGTTAGGTTTGCCACACTGTTCAGGAGCAGCTATTGTAATCTCTGAAGATAACACTAATACCACTACACATCAAAAGGAAGGAAAGAACTGCTTCCTTAAATACTCCCCACATGCACATGGAGCTGCACACCACTGAGTAAGGAAGCTCAAATTATGTAATCCCACCATGGGACAAAGTGATTTACGTAACTGACAACAATAAATATACCTTTAGTAAAAAATACCTTGGTTTGTATGACAAAATAGCTCAAAAGGAAGTTAGACCCATCTGCATGTAGTCTTTCAAGCTTAACCCCACCAATAATAGACATAGGAAAAAAACCACACCTTTTTTTTTTTTTTTTTTTTAATATTTTCAACTCAAATTGCTAGAAATCAGATCAGAGAATGGTATAAACCTCCAGAAGCTGACACAGTACAAGTATCAGAAAAAGAATAGAGATATATTTAAATCAACCAATATAAACTAAATGGTCTGTGTTAGCATCACGCACAGGAGGAAATTCACATCCTGCTTGCCTCATTTTGAGGCAGGATTTTACCTGTTAAAGAAGTCAGACCCATACAGGTAGCAGCTACGGCCACACTCAGAACTGCTGCAGCATCCTCCAGTAACACCACATTCGTACTAGGATCACGACTCTGCACGACTGCGTATACAACAAAAAAATTACATTGCTTCGGAAAGCTTAGCTTTACTACATTATGCGCAGTACCAAACAAACTATACTAACACCAGCAACTTAAGAGAAAAACTTCAGCAAGTATATAGGTGTAAACCGAGTTTTGCATATGCACGCACTTCTGAAAGCATTCATAAATACACAGAACAAGCCCTGTACCAATTATGGAAGCTTCTCCAAAATGTTTGAAAAATTTAAAGGGGCATTTATCCTGAAAAACTGCAAGAAGTTCAGTAAAAGTATCTAAGTAGCATTACTTAAATTAACAAGTTTTCACCTAATTTGTAAAATGTATTTGTTACTAGAACAGAAAACAGATCAATAAATCAAGGGGAAAGGGAAAGACAAAACAGACAAAATTGTTTCTATCATTATGCAAATACTGGTAAATAGATTCTGTTTTAAATAACCACATACCTTACTGCTATAACGACACATACCATATTGATAAAATGACAGACCCTTGGCTCGAGCACTCCTGCGAATTTCATTTATAGCAACAAGAAGGGTAGCTGAAACAACACCAAAGTAATTGCTGAAAATGGTTAGAGGCAAAAAGACTTGTTTCAATTTTGAAAAGAGGGAACTTTTCTTTATATCATAGCCACAGATTATCAAGAAAGCTCTCATTATTGAATGACAAAGCATAAAGTTACCTTATGCATGTCTCCCATACAAATCAGAACAATTATATTCACTGATAGTTTAATACCAAAAAGGCATTTTACATATACTTTCCAAATTATGTGTTCTTCAACTTCTTGTTATATATGCAGATACGAAAGTTTTCCCATTTTTTTGTTTACCTCGCAAGTATTTGCAACAGAGCTCAAAACTTCACTGTGTAAGCAAGGATCAATTATTACTGTAATTGCTCACATTGTACTCTCAGAGATTACGAATACTTAAATAGAAATATTTCTCGAAACTACATACCTCCTTCAGATACCAATGACCCTGCTAAAATGCAGTATGCCTGTATGGAAAAAAAAGTCTCAATTATTATGTTATATGCATATTTGTACAGATCTCTTCAGCACAGACTATCCAAACACGGCATTCCAGAACCTCGTTACCCACTGTGCCGTGTAGCTGTCCCTAAACAGAAGGCAAGCAACAATATTTGAATTATGCAATATATTGCAAAACAGGATAGGAGGACCTCTTGAGAGGTATGAAGGGAAGATGCAGCATTTAAAGAACAGTTCATTTTGCTGTAAGATCAGCTATAGTTTAACATGATTTTTTTCTTAAAACACATTCTCATTAAGGATGGTTTGAGTTAATTGTGTAGAGATTCAAACCGACTCAGAAAGTGAATTTCAGACTGTGCCACTACTTTCTATTAAGTCACCAGTATTAGATACAATATCAAAAAAGATTAGCTTACCCAGAGAAGAGATTCTATAGGATGAGGGTGGAGTAAGCCTATGATCCCATGATACCAAGAAAGTCCTGCACCCATCATGAAAATGCCCACCCCACTAATCAGGGAGGCAATATAGCGCATATTTGTGAAACCATACCTAGATAAAAACAAAGAAAGTGATTTAGGAAAATAAAATTCTATACCTCTACAAGTTTTTTCCATTAATTTTTACATGTCTTAAATTATCATCATATGACTGGGCACCTATTTAAGCCAAGCTGTTCAACCTAATGCAAGGAAAAAAAAAAAAAGCCACCTGGAAAAGGATATCTAGTACACACAAGAACATCAAGCAAAATTTCTTCACGGAAAGGGTACTCAACATTGGAACAGGCTGCCCAGAGAGGTGGTGGAGTCACCATCCCTGGAAGTGTTCAAAAAACAGGTAAACGTGGCACTTTGGGACATGGTTTACTGGACATGGTGGTGTTGGGTTGATGGTTGGACTGATGATCTTAGAGATCTTTTCCAACCTTAATGATTCCTAGTTTTTACTTTCATTAAAATAATCTGGCCACCAAGCCAGGAAGCACGAGATTGCTACTCGACCCTTAATTGGTTTAGTGGTGGACTTGGTAGTGTTAGGTTAATGGTTGGACTGGATGATCTTAAAGGTCTTTTCCAACCTAAACGATTCTATGATTCTGTGAAGCATATATATTTTCCCAATTCATTTTTAAACAAGCTATTTACACAGCTGTATTAGCTCTTGTGTAGAGACTGAGGATTTTACTACTGTAAAAAAAAAAAAAAAAAAACCACCAAAAAACCATTCATGTCACTTCTACATTTTATTGAAATGCTACTTCTAAATGAAAACTCTAGCCTTATAGGCAACCAGTCTGCATATTCTGTAATGCTAATTTAGAGATGTCACAAATGTTATTCCCCTTAAGCAGTTCAGCTAAATGCAGACATTCAACACTTGCAGGTTTTAAGAGCAGTGGGAAGAGCTAAGCAGTATTAAAAGTGTACCCTTATTCCTTTTTTTTGGTATTAAACCGCTACTACAAACAGTACGTTTCTTTACCAACATTTAAAAAAGAATAGTACAAAATACTATATGGAGGAAGAAGGGGAAAAAAGTGAGAGAGGGGAAGAAGATACAACAAATATTTAGACAAATTTAAGATTAAAATATTTTTCAAATTACCTGATGCTCTTAATGAAGAAAAGCTTAACTAATTCTGTAAATTAGACATATTTTGAACTAGTGCTTACAGTATGAATGACTTGCCCAAACATGTGAAGTGTAAAGCAGGTTAATACCAAGAAAATATCATGGAGAGTATAGCTTCTAACTTTCATGAAATTGTAAGAATTTATCAACAACATCCCTACTACTCAGATAAAAACAAAGAGTAGTTTAGTCAAACACATCTCCTTATAATACAAGTAGCTGCCTTGCAGAAAAGCCCTTTGTTGAAAATAGGAAGGGGACAGCATTTTTTAAAAAATCTTGGCATTCACGTGAACAGTGTTTAAAAACAAAGTAAATCTATCCATTGGAAGAGGCAGAGGAGCCCAAAATAACTTAAAGAAATAATGTCAATTAAAATAATACACATCAAAAAGCATACCACAAAAAAAATCATGAAATATAACATGCATCAAGCCACTGAAGCTACAACTCCTGCAGTTTGTAAGAAAACCCTTTTCTTATTTTATCTATTGTAAAATCAGAAACAATGCATTTCAGAAATGATACGAAACAGCAGATTAAAAAGAACAAGCTAACATACAAACAAGAACTGATCTTACTCCCATACATAATTACTAAAATCATTATTTACTCAAAAAGCTTACGGATGACTAGGGTCAGGTGTCCTTGCAGACTGACTGATGCCCAAAGCTAGCAATGCCTATTTAGGACAAAAGGAAAAAACTTTTTTTAAAAAAAAAAAAAAAATTAGAAACATTCTATATCAACTGAACTTGAAAGATAAAGGCAGATGCAACCTGCACATATGCTTTGTTACTGATATTTTATTAAAACTGGAATATAATCCTCAAAATCTGTCATGTAAATCTACCACCACCCAAAAATTGTTAATTATACCTATATATATAAAATATAGGTAATTATATAGTGTGTATATATATAATTACTGTTAATTATACTTTCAGAATTGCAACCAAAAGTGAGCATTAAATGTAATCACAAGCGTTGTTGCTCTGCTTCAATGTGAAGGAATGAAGTTGTTCAGGGCACAAAGCTATTTTAATCCCTCTTGAAGAGAAATTATACCGAGACTATGGGTGATGGCACACTACATTTAAAGCAATAATTTTACACTGCAGCTTCTTTCAGTAGTGAAGTCCATATTCTCCAAACTAAAGAAAAAAATTATTTTGAAAGAAGAAATAAAAACCTCTTGCTATCTAAATGGCCTATTTGGGATATATTTAATTAGGCACGTATTAAACCATTCATGCAGTAAGTTATAAATCTAGACTTCAATTTTGCAAAGCACATGCTTTGTTTTAGGACTATGAATTATCGAAACTTAATAAAAAGTATTAAAATTTAGACACTTTAGTCTCCACAGCAGCAAGCTGTTTTGAGGCAGCAAGGTTTCTCCACTATTTTTCCCCAAACCACATACTTGAATATTTGAGCAAAACCCCCCATTTCCAGCGGAACATTTAACTTTCACATTTAAAAACCAGAATAGCTGTTCCACACATAAGTGGCAGATAGTACCACTATTAAACTTGGTTCACCTATAAATTGACATACTTGGCCAAATGAAAAATCACACACTTAAACGCTCCCTCCCCATTAATTTCTTTATGTGTTATCAGTTGAGTTAGTAGCACCCCTGTCTTCACTTTACAGCTGGAACAGCTGAAAGGCTGTGTAAAACCATTTATAGAAAAATGGCAAACAAAATGTGAATCCTCAACTCAGTCTTTCTGGACAGAGAAGCATACTAGGTACAACTGAAGCAAAGAGGTAATCAAAATTATGTTAAAATGCTTTTTAAGATATTAAGTCTGCTCTAAGATTCTGTGCATTCCTCAAATTTCGAGGAGCACAAGACTGTTGCATTTTATGTGAGTCACAAGCTAGCCAAAGACTCCTCTTGCTTGAGCTGCAGGAAGATTTCAGCGACTCATCTTTAAGTACTTATTGTTTCCAAAGTCTTGCTATATCAAAAATTGCAACAAGAAAGGTTCTTTCTACACCGGGAGAAGGGGAAATTTCAAGGTTTTGCAACATATGCCTCAAGCATACTAAAGAAAATAGTGGAAAACACAACATTAATTTTGTCCCTGCACACTAATATTACGTGCCCAGCTCTGAGTCTGCCACACCACCTATCAAAGTAAGTGTGCCAGGTACGTGGCTACTTGTGCTGTGAGAGGCTGCTAAGGCAGTCTAGGAATAGAAAAAGAAACCGAGATGCTCAAATTCTCATCATTATTCTACCAAGAGACAACTAAGCAACAAAGTCTGTCATTCTGTTACAACAACTGACAGGAAAAGTATTTCAAGTTAACATTTAACCAAAATAAGAAAGAGGTATACTTTGTACATCATCTTAGTTTCAAGTCCCACTTATGATCCATGAAGTAGATGAGTATAGTTCTGCTTACTACAACTCCTCTCTTTCAACTAATTTCTAAAAAAAACTTAAGAATCTACATTCTGACTTGTCTCATTCTTACATTAACACAAATTAAAAACCATGCAATTTTAATTTTGTAATCATCTTGACAGGCTCTCAATACTTTAAGATGACTGATACATCATTCTTGTCTGGGAGGGGCAGGGAGCGAGGCAGACAAATGAGCATGTAACCCAAATTACTGAGATTTTGTTCTGACACCACTTCGTAAAGATAAGGATGGTCACATTATGCATATGCATTGTGACAAACAAAACTAAGCCTGCCCTGAGACTTATTTCCTAATGTTTCCATATCTGAGTAATATTATAACCCGTTTACCCTTCTTTGGTGCACTTTCATCTTGACAGTTATAGGGAAAATAAATTGCAACCAAAGTATGGAACAATCAACTATACGAAAAACCAATAGTTTAGAAAAGAAGAACAGAAGTAATTGGGGCAGGCAGTTTGAAATAATCTAGATGTCTTACAAATAGTATTATATTAGCAGAAATACTAGTCCAAACACCATTCAAATAGATTTTATTTATAATTACAGGTGACCCTTTCTAGATTCCTTCTGCATTTAAGGCTTCTAGACTAAGGTCAGTTGTTTTACTGTTAGCTTATAAATCCTCCATCAAATAACTGGCATCAATATAAAAAAAAATAAAAGAGCAGCTAGATAAACCTGTAGAAACCGCTAGTTGAAACCACTAGTTTTGACAAGTAAATTTGCAACTGAGTAACAACAGCTTTGCACTCCAATTAGGGAACAGCAGAAAGAGCTCTGGGCTTAACAATATTTCTAGTAATGTGAATTTCTGACAAAATATGCTTTCATCTGCCTACAGTTTGTTAAAACAATAACATTACTTTGTAAGTGAGATTTGCTTTTGTCTCTAAAAAAATACACGCCTACTACACAGGCACAGAAAAGAGTACATCTTCCTCCTGCTGCATGCACAGAGAGCATGTCACACTCTGGGCAGGCTTTGTAATCTGAATGACTGAAACCAGAAATTATTTAATAATTAAGTAAAACACAAAAACACCCTCTCCCAGATTAAACTGTTTATTTAAAAAAAAACCTTTACGACTGTTTTGCCTCAAAATTATTTAAACGGTCATTAGATTAAGTACTAGCTTTTTTCCTCCTAGAATACATTACTATTAATTCTAGGAAGCATGTAAACCACACAAAACAGTACAAAATGATCACAGGTATTGAACAGGAAAAGCACTGTAAATACACACCACAGCAGAATCTGAGTGTCTTTTTTAGTAAGAGTTGTGGCTAATAAACTTGGAGTTTCTAAGCTTCTCTAAAATGCTGATGTTATCTATGAGCAAACTTTGTAAAGAAAAAGTATTTTGCCATTCACTCTAGTCCTCCTAAATAGAACACTGTTTTCATTTCTCTGGTGTTTACTATCTAGACAGTATAGGCAAACTAAGGAACACTAGTAGACTGAATTATTGCTTTCAAGTGTAATACAACTACTATAAGTATCTGCCTTTATTCCTGAAAAAATTATTACAGGTGCTAACTTAAGCAGAATGGAAAAAATACTCACCTGGTTACATGTGTCTGCTAAAGAATGTATGGCTTCTGAGAACATACTTGCAGAACCCGTGTAAACCCAAGCAAGTAGCTTAAAGAAAAAATTCAACCCATTTCTGAAAACAAAAAGAAGAAATAAGCTAAAGAACAACAGAATATTTGGTCTTTCCTATTTTCAGCAAAACCACAAGTGCTGTATAATCATGCATTACCTGCCAGCAAGTGGCGAAACCAAATATCAGTCTAATCATTAGAGACCTGTACAGGCAGATAAGGTATACACATTTTCTGCATGGTTACTATTAAAAAGCCTTTACATACTTGGTATGTAAAGATAGACAATTTATTTTTCAAAAATTGTTAACTTCTAAGCAGTCCTGAGTAAGTTACACATCCTGAAAACTACCATCCCATTCACTACTCAGAACAACTAATTGCCTACTAGCGGGAGAATACAAGTCTTAATGATTTCCTTTTCTCTTTCTTCAATCCTTTGCCTCCTATACATCCCCTCCTAATGCTGGTGTGCAAGGTTCCCCGCCCCAATCTCAGCTGGCACAATTCCCAGTAGGATACAAACATAAGACAACAGACAGGAAGACAAGGCTGTCATTACCTTACGCTGTAAAAATTATCTATGGATATTTTCCATTAAGATGCCCAGTGCGACTTGTCAAGTCTGTTTTAGCTTACGAGCTCACTGGAGTAAGCACTGTGTTATGTTGTACACAGAAAGGTAACTATTAGCACTAAAATCCAAGTCCTCATTCTCACTTCAAACATTCATTATCAGAATCAGTAGGTTAACTGTTACAATCATATGACAAAGAAAATCAGACTAGAGGATTATAACATTCTCCTCTTTTTTAATATATTTGAGTTTAGCTTATTGGCAATTTTTAGAAGTATTCAAATGAAATTAAGTGTTATAAATAAGCATTAACAATATCTTGTAGTTGCATTTTTGAACAAATGCATGTCAAGAAATTATATTTAAGTTAGAGGAAGCACAAGCCCAGTCCCTTGCCATACACCAAATCATACAGTTGATTAAACAACATTCATTTCCAAGGTCATCCTTAAATAATTTGTGAGAGAGTACATCCACTTCTTCAAGCAAGAGGTAGCACTGTTTTCTATACCTCCCTTCCATCCAAGGACCTGAACATGCTTTACGATTTTTAATTTAGTCTCATTACCTCATGAGATGGTGAAGCATCACCATAATTTATACATGGGAAGTAGAAAAAATGCGTAAGTTAGTGGATAACCCAAGAAGAAAGGAAGGCTGTTGTAACAGTAAACCATAATTTAAACTCCCTGTGCTAATTACAAGTTCTTCCAACTCACAGCATAGTGCATCTTTAGCATAGAAAGAAAATGAAATAAATTACAGTGGGATTCATGAGCACAATCTCTTGACTTTTGCATTGTTCTCCTCAATGTTGTATTAATGGAGTTGACAGCCTATCTGAAGGTACAATTCAGTTGTGGGGCCCCGACTTGTTCAGATCACACAACAGGCACTGAACTGTATTTTATTTCACCCCTACAAATTCCAAATTTGTGAGGGGATATGACATCCTAGAAATCTAAAAAGAAACCACACTAAGGTTTTCAAACATCAGGCCCAGCAAAATCAATCTGTTAATAATGTCCAGTAAGTTGGAGACATAGGATAGAAAGATGGAGAGTGCTACATGGGAAATAATTACAAAAAAACCTAGTGAGTCTACAAAGCCATCAAGGCTATTTGGTGTTTCCTGTCTGACTAGATGTTCACGTCAATAGAAGACAATAGATAAAAGACAGTTTGGGGGGTGGGGTGGGGTGGGGCAGGGAAACAGTCAGGTTTTTACTGCAAGTAAAATATGTATGGCTTTAAAAGACAAATTCACCACTGCATTTGAAAATAATAAGCCCTATGAAAGCCTAAATTCTGTTGAAGAAATACTAAAAAGATTTTAAACAGCAAAGGAAAAATAATCCAAACCCAGCAGATTCTGAGAAGGCAGCTAAAATACTCTGAATCAGTTTGAAACAAAGTTATCTTTTACATCAGTGACCACCAATTCAAAAAGTATTTTCTCTATTGTACTGAAATGAACTGAACTGACTGATTTAGCTACCCCATTTCTATCTGCATGGACCTGAAAGAGTAGGAAATCTTAACAGAACTTAAATCAAAGCTAGGTAAAGTCTGAAAAAGACTTACTGTAATGTTTTGGACATCATGCCAAGAAATAACCAAAAAACCCCACCCCATGATTCAATAGGTCCAATTCTCTTGCTTATTAAACCTACTACTATACAGCATTTTCTAATAAGCCTCTTCTGCACCTAGAAAATAAGCAGTTTCATTCAACACAACTGTTTATAACTGTATTCTAAAGTTCACATATGAGGCAGACATTCACCAACAAAATGGGGTGGAAGTGTTGAAACAGATATACATCTTCCTTGCTGTCAGAAGTCTTGTCAATTTTAGTGTAAAGTCTAAATGTAATAGGTAACTTTAAAATGTACTGATATACAAACAGAATCAGCCTTTCTTTGGGGGGGAAAAAAAAAAAAAAAACCCACAAACCCAAAAATACACAAATGCAAAAGTAGATCCAAATCAATGATTCAGATCAAGGTTCCTAACTTAATTGTTTTCCTAACAATTTTAATTGTAATTTAAATTACAATTACAGCAAATTCAAATAACTCTATGCTGACTGAACTGTAAACTTGAAAAAATTAAAAGGACATTAATACTTGCTTTTACATAGTTATCATGCCAAATTTCTTTCAAAGATAACCACCTCAAAAACCCAAGATGTATATGGGGAACAGAAATTATGGGGAATTGAGAAATATATACAGGGAATTGTACCATCAGGCGATTGCCTACTTTTTATACTTTACCTTACAGCATAAGGTAATGGTCTAGAAGGACGTGGTCTGATTTACACAACCATCCCTGTCTACCTACATAAAATATTTAGGCTTTTGAAGAAAGGACAGTAAAAAAATAAATGTCAAAATTAAAAAAAAAAAAAATCAAACTGAAAATATTCAGATCCATTATGAATCTATGGAAAAAAATCTACTTAGGCTCTAGATTTGAGAACTAAACACATTTCATCACATCAATTTCCAAAGAAGCAGTAACATTACTAACATCTTTCACCACTAGTATTTTTTTAAAAATATTACATACTGTGCGTTTAAAAGGTAAAGCGTTAGCGTGACAATGAAATCACTTCAACAATGCCAGACTCTGAAGAATGTTTTGCTAATAATAGATCGTTCCCTTTTTGATAAAACATATTACCTTCCTGTACTTCTCTAACAGAACTTCAAAGTTTTTCCTCACACACAGAATTCTATTAACAACACAGAGTGTGCCAGTGCAGCTGGTCTATACCCTCACACATGGATCCATACAAAAGAACACTGGTTTTGATTGAACCACATTCCATCCTCACTGAGTGTCCTGGTTTCGGCTGGGATAGAGTTAATTTTCTTCTTAATAGCTGGTGTAGTGCTGTGTTTTGGATTTAGTAGGAGAAGAATGTTGATAGCACACTGATGATTCAGTTGTGGCTAAGTACTGCTTATGCTAGTCAAGGACTTTTCAGCTTCCCATGCTCTGCCAGGTGCACAAGAAACTGGGAGGGGGCACAGCCAGGATACTTGATCCAAACTGACCAAAGGGCTATTCCATACCATATGGCGTCATGCTCAGTATATAAACTGGGGGGTTGGCCGGGGAGCAGCAATCGCTGCTCGGGAACTGTCTGGGCATCGGTCAGCGGGTGGTGAGCAATTGCATTGTGCATCACTTACTTTGTATATTATTATTATATTGCTGTTATTATTATTATTACTATTTTACTTTATTTTATTTCAATTATTGAACTGTTCTTATCTCACCCAGGAGTTTTCTCACTCTTACTCCTCCGATTCTCTCCCCCATCCCACCAGGCCAGGGGGAGTGAGCAAGAGGCTGCGTGGTGCTTAGTTGCTGGCTGGGGTTAAACCACAACACTGAGACACCAAGGAAGCCTGAAGTTTGTGAAAAGCCTACCAAATCATTCCAACTGGAGAAGTTAAGACAGATTGGCCTTTCTTGACCCAAAACCAGAAGCTATTAAAAATCATGCTGATGTCAAGACGACCAGGGCCACAAACAAAGGAGCACTGATGGCAGCCTTGACTTAAATCTCCAAAAAGTCATCAGGTATTTGAGGGCCACGAGATCCTTTAACTTCTAAAAAACACTCCACAAAAAGATGACTGACCAATACAACAGGTTCTACAAACTTCTGCTTGCCTGGCTACCAGGCATTCATCTATAAAAGTAACTAATCATCCGTAATGTATTTATGAAGAGAGTGCAATGTTTAGAGCAATGCCCAATTTATAAAGCAGGAAGAAAAGGTCTGTTTTCTCTAGATCACTGTAGGACAGTGAAGGAGGTCGAAGTGACCATACAACACCCTCCCCCTTTTTTTTCTCCATTAGAAACATCCATACTAAAGTAAATTTTATCCATCAATTTCTGAGAGAAACTTAACACACTTCTGTGTATTTCATGCCAGATAGTCTCTGTGCTCATTTGCTTTAAATTAGGATCACTAGTTTAGTTTTGTTTCATTCCAACTTGTAAGACACGTGAAAGGCAAAAACCTCCTAAAATATCCTCTTTTCAGTTAGAGAGGAAAAGAGTTGAATAACAGCAGAAAGTGAATTCTTTTCTGTTGGTTATATGGAAGATTGTTTAAAACCTATGAAAAGCTTCCTCTCAAGAAGGAGCAAGAAAAAAGGACAACTTTAAATGCCTGTCTTTCCATGTCCTTCAAAATTTTGGTTTTTACTTTAATAAACTGCTTAGTCTGATCAACTTCAAAAAATTTGCTCTCCTCTGAACAGAGATATATTCTATCCCCAATCTCTATATATTGATGAATGTATTTATCTAAACTCTCTCCCATCAACCATGAATGAACAAATCTATTAATTTCAGTTACAGAGACACAGATATCTCTAGCTGGAACACACAGGCTGTTCTTATTTCCAGGATAATAAAAATAAATTGTTTTTTACTTGCATAAACAAAACATTGGTTTAAACTTACATGCAAATAGCTACCATTACCACCTTCCCTGGTCCCTTGAAAAACATAGATGCTGCACTGGAACGTGGCTACATAAAGAAATAAGAGATTATTAAAATAAAATAACCAAATCTTGACCTCATGAATGACCTACCATACAAGTTATTAAATAAAAACTTTGCATTGCCCTGTACTGCAAAAGCAAAGCTAGTCTTTGAAGCCTACTAATTTACTACTGAATGCTCACCCAAACTGCAGATGGGTCTTACATGTTTCTACAAATGGATGGCTATAAAAAGGATAAACAACCAAAGCCTCCAGCAGGGGCCACTGCAACCATAAGGACAGGAGCCAGCTGTACAGCAGAAAGATTAAGAAATCATTCTACCATAGCAGAGCACCTGGATCTAGGGAACAGGTCTGTTTAAGCAAAAAAGAAGGGCCAGTAGGGCACAGAGCAAAGTGTTAATGTTTTAGAGGTTTTTTTCCTTAAGAAACCTATTTAATTTCTTTAAATTAACAATGTATTTACTATACATGTTTATAGGCTATAGATGAAATCACAAATACAGCTGCAATTTGACAAAAAAAAACCCCACCAACCTTACTGGTGGATTACACTGCTACAGTAGTAACTCATTTAAACTGGCATCATAATATTTACCACTGCATTACAATCTAAGACACATCTGGTGTATTACAGCGCAATAAATCTTCCAATAATATTCAGTTAAACTTAGGCAACTGTTTCACAACTTCTTCCTTCAAAATGTGTCATAGTACATTTCATGGCATTTTTTTTTAGCCCAAAACTTTAAAACATCTCTTACCTTAGTATTTCCAAAGAACTCCTTGTATTCCCTCAACAGCCTTTGGTTTCTAAATAGATCTGCAATAAAAAATTGTTATCATGAATACGTACTAGTAACCGGTAGTTTCAAGAATTTAAGTCTATTGCAGCAGCCAACTTCTAGTAAGAGCTACATGGTCTGTCTGTCTTTGTGGAAAACTCCTCTCCTGGTACTGTTAATCAGAAACATATATTGTTACATACTCATGCAAAATGCCAAATACAATCTGTTATGATCCTATACATGGTTGTCATTTCTACCAACAAAGGATGATACACAGAGGGAAAGACTCAAAATACACCATCCCAAATCAAGGCATTCTACTGCCCCCCTCCTGCGCCTTAACCATGAAGGAGAGAGGGAAGGATGTTTCAAAGCAATTCTCTTAACATCAGTATCTTTCCATCTACTAAGGATGTTCAGTAACTTCAGAATAAACATTGGTATACTACAGTATCTCGAAGCTGTAGTGCTAGATTCTTCCCTACAAAGTTCTACAAAATACATTGTACACAATAATTTAAATAGATTAAAACAGCCAGTGGAGTACAAAGATAGTCTGTAAAAAAAGGGAGTTACCACTTCAAGTATATGTTTCAGTATGCTATTATGACTGAGTAATATTTTTTAATCTCATTTTTGGACTATGTCCAAGAATTATTTTGCTGGTCACTAAAATTTTTGAAACTACTGACTGTACTCTCAGTAGAAACACTTACAGGTATCTTAATAAGTGCCTGCAGCTCTAGCCCTTTTACTAGGAGGGTGTTCCAGTGGCATAAAAAAAAAAAAAAATTGAAAAGACCTCTAATTTTAAGGTGCATAATTGGAATAAGTACCTTGAAGCAATACTGCCTCTCCTGTGATTTTAACTGACTGGACAGATCAAAATCCATTACAAATTACTGATTTGACTGTACCTGTTATTGGTAATACCAGCGAGGATGACAACAATAATTTTAAACAAAAAGATGATTTGGGGGTATTTCCCCTGCTTCTGAAGCACAAAGGTAAGCTGAATTAATTTCAGAGTGAAAATAAGTAAGTAACAGTATGGTATCAAGATTTGGACTGGTTTTAAGTCCTTTCAAAATTTCCAATAAAAAAATCCAAAACCAAAGATGTTAATTATAATCTAAAAATTGAAAGCCCCTCAAAAAACTAAGTAGGACTACAGATCTCAACTGAACGTATATTCTTGCTCTATCACATAGATGATAAATTGTAAGATAGTAACAGACTGTATCTGCACAGACAGTAATGTGTTACTCTACACTATAAAACTAATTCCAAAGTTGTATGTTCTCAATGAAGGAACACACCATCTAGTGGATTTCTAACAATCACACTTTGTTGTTTACATTTGAAGTTATTTGAAAACTCTATACTCACTTTCTCTGTACTTGATCTCTGCCTCTTTACGTCGTTTTCTTTCTCTAGCAAGAGCCTCTGGACTACCCCAAACTTCAAGAGACCTGCACAGCGTAAAAGTAACTTAACAATGGTTCTATTTATGCAACTTCTTTTCAGTTTGACTACATTACAAATGCCTTTCGTGAAAGCAGAACACCACATCATTCTTTCTGATAAGAAGCCACGCAGACTATTTTACAGAATAAAAAGCTGGGCAAGAAGGGGTTGAGGACAAGCACTTAATCTTTGGACACATGAAACGTACCCTCCAATTTTATATACACCATGCAATTATTACAATAATGAGGATAAAATGTGTTCAGATAGAAAATGGAAAACATTATTGCCCCTTCACATTGTAAACCTGACTTTTAAAAATTTTTTCTCTCTCTCTCTTATATAATCCATTTTAAATGATCCAAACATTTTCCTTCATAAAAACATTCTTACTTTGCCTCTACATCCGACCTCAGGTACACAGTGAAAGTCTCAGTATCATCATGGGGGCTTCGTCGTTTAATTTTCCTCAGCTGGTCTAAATCACTAAGGAAAGTAGACAAACAGTTTACTGCAAGAAAAAGTTCATATTATTCTAATTTTACTTTTATGTCTGGGTTATCTTCCACAATTTTGATATTATTCATTTGCACTACAAAAAACCTGAAGTTGTTTACTTGAGCCAAACAGAACAGATATGCAACATGAAGCAAGTGATCTCTAGGATGCTATTGAAAACCATGTTTTCCACACTGAGAAGTCCAAATCATGTCCTCACATGATGAAATACTATACACACAAGACAAAGTAATAAAACACTGAATAATAAAGAATCCAATGAATGATCTGCATGTAATTGATCATGTGCACAAGTGCCAAATAAGAAGGTTCATGGCTTAACATCTCTACATGGAAATCAGAAGTCACACGACATGAGAAGTTAAGAAATTTAACCTCAAAACCTACACACCCAACACACGCTGCAAAAGGTTGGAGATAACAAAACTAGTTGGTTGAACAGATAAATTTCCTGTGCTGAGCTACATGCTAGGGCATCTACATAGAGAAGCATCAGGGATTATTTCTTAATTATTATTTTTAAAAATACAAGAGAACATTTCATTTTTAGTCCAACCAATTATCTAGTCTTTTTTTTTTTTTCTTCCCCTCCCCCCCCCACTTTTTGGTCAATCCAGCAAAAATTTAGCTGGTTATTTCTCTGCACAACAAGCCTGTTATGATAAAAATACGGCAGAGGACTAAGCATAACTTGTCACTGGATTTTCAGCAAAGACCACATTGGGTGACATACACTATATGTAAAAACTGGGGAGGAACAGTGACAGCATAAAAAGTTATAAATAAAGCTGCTAAGCCTTTAGATTTAATATGGGTCACACACATAACACGACAGACACCTCAACTATAGAGATACTCAGCAAGACCTGCTGGCAGGCGTGGCACATAGTAAAAGGTAGTAAATATGAATCAAGTAACAATAGTTAGGTTACAATGCACCAGATTATATTTTATTCCAAATTACAGACCTCACGTAACATGAAGTTTCCACTGATCTTTTAAAGACGTTCACATCAAACCATCATGACCCCAAAATGCTGAAACAAGAGTTATGTGCCATTCCCCCCTATAATTAGCTACTCTAGACATGGACTCCCCCCAACTAGATTTATGGTCACGTAAGTACAAATAAATTACTTTAGGAAGCAACTACAGAAACGTGCAAACTGAGTGCAAGTTCCTAATCCACTGCAACACAAGTAAACAAGAACTAACTTCAGCCACTTATGATTACGTACACCACAAAAACATTAGAAAAAGTTGCTGTGCAAAATCACTCTACAGTCACAATTACTTTTGAAGCACATACGAAGAAACAAATAATCACAATTCAAATTTCAACTCCAACCCGTCATACCTGGATTTAAGACAAAACTCATTTATTGCTCTGACTCCAGTGATGAAGTTGTTCTGCGTGTATTTTGGTCCATACTCTCTTTTTTTAAGGACTGCTTTCACTTAAAAACAGAAATAGATAAGCAAGTTAAGTCACTCATGGAGACTACAGCAGAAACTTCCAAAAGGTAATTCAATCTAGTGTCATGTCATGATACCTCTAAGTAAAGATCTGAAAAACACTGCTTGTCAGTGAGATAGAAAACTTAACAGTGAAGAGTAAGGAATGTTCTTCATTGTGGAAACAAGTAAGAAGAGAATGATTTACCTCCAGAAATGCTACTTGCTAAGTTGTAGTTCAGGGCTCTCAAACATCCCCCACACTTAACTGCCACTGTCAGCTACCTCTCCAACTTTGATGGCAGAGATGGTATTTGGCTACTAAGATAGCATTCAAACATGGCAATTTGGAAACCCTTGCTCTAGCAACTGAAATGGCAACATAAAGCTCCATTTCTTTTTTCCAATACTTAACCAATTCCACCTTCTGCAGATAAGATTTTTGACCTTTGCAGACCACACAGAGAACTGACACAGACTGTCTGTGTCATTTTTCTCAACTATTACTTTCAAAATTAGCACACTTAATATTGGGCATTTATAACAATTAAAAATAGACATTCTTCATTTATAATGTTTCGTATGTCTAGAAGATGTACTCTTATCCCATCAGGTTTTCATGTACAAGGAAAAGAATACCACACATATTCAGAAAAAGGATAAATGGAATTTTAAATTTATGCCATTATTTCCTGCTTGTCTATACACACATAACTTTATCTTATTTTCAAATGTAAGCCACTATACACTCACTTCCGTTAAAAACATCATGCTTATTGGAAGAAGAGTTGCAATTGCTGAAGGCTGTAACATTAAAGAACACAACTGAAAACAAAAAGCTCAAATTCTGCAGGCAAGAAGACTTACAAACACACATGAACTTCCTGCATATCACAGGACTGATGATTTCTATAGTTAGTCCAGAACTTCTCCTTAAGTCACAGGATACTTAGAGAAAGATACTGCATTTAAAGGCTCTGAGAAAAATTGTCCCAGAGTTGACACCGCAATGTAGACATTGTCTTATTTCTGAGTTTTGAAAGCTTAAAGGCAAAATATATTCCCTGACACTCAACAATGCACTAACACTTCAGATATCATTATTTACCATCATAATCTGATTTCTGTCATCCAGTTTGAACTTAAACAATTTTTTAAGTACTTGAATAATCACATTCATCCCACAATGCTCCTAAGCAAAGGTGACAAAAAAAATTAGAGATTTTCTAAAAACAGTCCATCATTTAGTAAGATGATGATGATGACAGGATGAACATTTTAAACAAGAAGAATGCTTCCCATCTTTTCTTACTCAAAACAGAAATATATCCGAAGTGCATTAACCCTGTATAACTTGTGGATTTATCAAACACTTACTAATCCATCTTTCAGAAACAAAGGTAAATTTCAGTAAAAGAAAATTGTACATTGCAGAATATCTCAACTATCCTACCCTTAGTTCAAATAACCGCATAAAATTAGTTATAAGGGGGGGTGGGGTGGGTGTCAATTTGGTATTTCCAAAAGAAGGATAAAGCCCAATAAAAGAGGATGTAAATAAAACACTTTAAATAGCACAAATTTTTAAGATTAGTGATTCTCTACAAATGTTGTCTTAGTAATACTTGGATCAATAACTTCCTAAGTCACAGCAGCATCTGAAGGCTAGAATTCCACTTTCTAGACACTATCAACATCTTTAACAGAAACATTCTTGCTTGCGCATCTATAATCTAAGAGGTAAAACTCTCTTCTCACTGAAATATGTATCTATTTTTACAATTGTTTCACAGTCTATCTAATTTCTCCTATCTACCTTGTATGTTCCCCCTGCATGCCTACGCTAAGTGACAACAGACCCAAAGAAATTGACATAAAGGATGTAGACAAAAATGTACAGAAAATATACATCAGAGACACTGATCTCGCCTTGTTACTAACAAGTACTACGGTTTGATGTTTCTTTAAATTCAGGGAAAGACAGGAAGGAATTTTTATACAGTTTGCAGCCTGCTGAGTCACTTTCACTCCAGAGATTTTTTTTTTTTTGACGGAGTTTAAAGAGAAATGGCAATTTCTATTTTGATAAAGTTCTTTCCATACATAGAAGGCTAGGAGTGATCAAAAGTACAGGAGTTTTTAATAGCATAATTCTCACAATAACATAATAGAAACTATCAGAGCGAAGATGGAGTGAAATCAGGTCATGAAAGAAAGTTATGCTCTTATTTTATCCACTTATGTTTTCAAACAATGTAACTAAGGACAAAGCATGTATTTGCTACAGGCAGGCACAAATAGGAACATTACAGGACTCAGATTAGGCACTTCATGTGGTCAAAATATATTTAGAAGCACCACTGATTAGATTAACTCAGCAATAAGAAGGAACAGAGGAAGACTTAGAACAAGGAACAGGGGAAGATCAAGTATTCAGCTTAGCCACATTAAGTCTGAGATGGTGAATGGACATGCCTAAAAACATGCAAGGAGGGCAGACTGTGATATATGAGAAAACAAATTAAGTCTTTTCCTGATAAACTCACTAGCTTAAATGAAACAATTAAAAACAGACACGGAAGAATGAACAATTAGAAGGAATACTGCTATATTTGATTTTTCTGGAGTCAAACAACTGGGTACCAAGTAAAGCTGACAATACACGTTGTGTTTTAAAATGTTGTTCACATAACTTGTTACACAATTGAAGAGGAACCACAGTTTCCTTACACATTATCTTTTTTGACTGCTAGTGGACAGCAGTAAAGTTCCAATACAGGAAGTATTTACCTTTTACTTGGATTGGCTCTTTAAGGAAAGACTGCTTTTGACCTGTACTGGTCGTATCTTGTCCTGTAAAATAAAAATAAAGCTCACTATAAATAGGGAAGTACCTACTTTTCTTTTTAGTAAAGAGTTTGGTTGACATAACAAAATAAGAATTTACCTTAATATTGCTTTCCACCCTGACAAGTAAAAAACATTTTCGCTAGATTTCCAACATTTAAAACTCTCAAAATAAAGGACAGAAATAGTACAAAAATAAATAACAAAATAAGGCATTTAATACAGCGTTGATCAATAAATTCCCAGCAGCTTGCAGAAGAGCACTGACTTGCAACATACTTCAGAAAGTATCCTGAATTTTTAAAAAAATATTTTGACAGTGTACTTATAGTTTGGGGCAAGTTTTATGCAAAATTTTAGATTAGTAAATATAATTAATTCTGTGTAGTTTATGTCTCATAGAGCTTTCAAGTTGTAACTCAATTTTAAGGGACTGAACCCTTTTCACTTACAAAAAGCTAGCTCCTTAAAATACAGAATATTTAAACTAAAATCCACAACTCTTGTGTCACAAACTGGAGCTAGAATGAAAACAAAGTATTTTAGCTGGTTTTGAAATGTGAGGATATGACTCAATAAAAAGCCAATAAAATACAATTTACAGTACTGTTAAGTGAATCTTAATATTTGGAAAATAATAAATTCCAGTAATTTCAGTGAGATTCCTACTTAGAAATCAGAAGTACTACGTGAAAATACAAACAAATATTGCATCCTTATCTCACACATCTCAACATAGCTTTCAGAACAAACACCTTATGATTCTACCACATTGAACCAACATACCCACTCTTGTGCCCTAACACTCTCTAACACTGGAGGTTTGCCACACATCCACAGTCGTTAACAAAATTAAAACTGCCCTTGTTGAAAGTGACATATTAAAAAAAAACACTGAAGATTCTTCAAGCTGGTCTGCGTTAACGAGATACTCAAATTACTCAAAGGTCAGATATTCTTGAAGCTTGGACTACATAACTATCTGTCCATCAGGCAATTAGTTATTGCCCTAACAGCAACTGAGGACTAAGGCTAATAACAATCTATGTATACTTTCTTGGAAAAGTAACACTTAAAAATTTATGAAACTGATCTTATTACACAACAAATAAGGCTGGTCCACAAATAAACAGCATTCCTAAAACAGTCATCCCTATCAGTTATTGTTTGACTTGAAAACAAAAGCAAAAAAAAACATTGCTGTTCCTTTCCTTTCTTTTTTTACCTCGTTTAAAACACCAGGCAGTCGATCTATCAATAGTCATGATAAAAAACTTGAGCTAAGATTGCTTAGCAAAAACTGAGTAGTAGTTTCTTTTCAGAAACTGCGTGCAACCATTTATGTCACTGAAAGAAATATCACCAAAACTATTTAAGAAAAGATTGGGTCATAAGATTTCAGAGGGGGGTGGGGGGAAAGGCACAAAAATATAAAGATTTGTATCTATGTACACCAAGTACCCTTTTAAAGTTTACTACCTCATCCTAGAGGCTGGACAAAATCACAGTGCATCAGTACACCGCCGGAGCACGAGTACTGAATACTTCAATTAACAATCACTGTTTTTCAGACAAGCAAAGGCTGATATGCTAGAACGTTCAAGATGAATAGACTAGTATTTGCCATATCATATTAAAAGCAAAAGCATTTCCCAAGTTTACCGATAAAGAAATGGAAGTCCAAAAGAGATCCATTATTTGCTAAATATTTAAGTTACTGGAAAAAGTATGGCAATCTTTACAAGTAGTATATTACCTTTTCAGAATTCTATCAAAAAAATTTTTTTTTAAATAAACAGTAGTAATACATCCATAATGCATAAGAACGTTCTATCCACTAGGCCCTGGAAAACACACCCTAAATTAAGCATGCGTATTACAATATGCATTCCAAAATAAACTTCAAAGCAATTGTTCATCTATGCACAATACCTCTAGGCTGCAGTTTCATATACGCTTGCATACATCGGCCCCCACTCTCAACAAAAAGTAAGTCTCACGGTGCCCATGTGGCACAGTTCCACTCAAGGCTTACTATGACTCAAGGCCACGCTCACAAGGGCAGCATCTCTCCTCCAGCCATTTTAGAGACAGTGAGCAGGATCAGCTTACTGGTCCATTCTACCTCTACCCTAGCTCCGCAAAACAAGAAAGCAATTAGTTTTTCACAAAACAGGCCTAAGCATCATTAATGCCAGCACAAGAGAAGGAGTAGGCAGATGGGGTGAGAGAAGTTGGGAACACCCTTTCTGATGATAGTCAACGATTATATAAACTTAAGGCAATCACGAAAGCAATAGGGCTAGACTGTTTTCACATGTCTGATTTTTAACACCTGTAACTGCCCATTAAAAACCCAGAAAATACCAACAACTACAACTGGCTCTACAGTCTTTCACTGTATTCAGGCAGACATTCTTCTACAAGAATCTCACCCTCTAGCAACCATCTTCAGCTCAAGACTATCCAAGAAATGTAAACTGTCTTACGTATTACCCTCTTCTACAATCCAGTCACAGACTTAAGAAATAATATCCAATTGTTACACTTAAGTGTTGTTCTAAGATTCACTTTTGTACTTCCGAACATCAGAAGAGTAATACTCTTAGCTGGCTATGCTACTCTATATAGTTACTAGCTTTTAAAGACTGCTGCAAGTCTCAGGAATTTACAAGTTACTAAAGAAAGAATGAATACCTGCTAACCTGACAATGAAGAGAAGAAAATTTTCTTTAGCAGACCACTTAGTTTTAGACAAAAGCACACAGAAAGAGAACTTTTGTTTTAAAAAGCATTTGTTACCTCTTAAGCACAGTAGCCTTCCAAACATATATCTGTGCAGTCCTACACTGAATAAGCAGAAAAAATAGAGGATACGACGATAGAGCAAGGACAAGACAGTTCTGAATTTCACAAGCACCTAACTAGCACAAGATTTACAGTCAAACTGAACAGCAAGGAGGGTCAGCTTATGCCATCATATCAAGTGTTTAATGTGAATGCTGCAGGTATGACAACTGTCAGAAACAGAAAGCTCTAGCAGATGAAACGGCTCAACCTTCTTTACCAGTCATCTATAGCCTGACCTGGAGAAGTCACAGTGCTCAGTATTCACACTCATTCAATCTTAACGACTAGTTCATTTCACACAACGAACCTGAAATACTACAAGAAGAATTCAAGTAAGCAAGCAAGGTGGTAAAAGAGAAGTAATACATTCTATTTCTTATCCCTTAAGTTACCTAATCCCTTCTGACATCCACATTTTATCATCACCACTTTAAATTTCATTACTCTAAACTTAAATCTTTTAAATACTGGAATGACAAAGAAATACATTTCAGCATTCCTCTCTGCTTATGCATTTGAAATGTATATATAGATGCCCACAAACAACAAATACTCAGAATTCTGCAACCGTAATATTACATAATTAAAAAAAAAGTTATCAATTGTTAAATACATAAAGTTTTTACATTTATATAAATAGTCTGTATTTTAGCTTAGCACTACCTGTTCCAACTTTATGCATGGTTTCTTCAGGGGTTGATCTATTTGTATCTTCTGATCCAAGATCTTTTTTCTGGCCATTGGAGGTATAAACTCTCACTTGACTCATCAACTGCACAGGCAGACGATTGCATGGTAGAATATAAGACAGACTCCCACTTTTCATTGAAGCTTGCCATCCTAACAGGGGGAGGAAAAAACGATTTTCAGGCAACTGTTTTGGAAGGAAAAAGAAGGGAAAGCGGTCCAGCTATACCAGCACAAGTTATGGAAAGTCAGCTTTTACGTACTGAGCTGTGCTTATTTTACGCAGGTTTAGGAATTACAAAATGGAAGTACACAGCATGCTTTCACTGCCTCCCTTCAAAGATCCACTTTTAAACTTCATTCTAACATTAGGGGTTTTTCCCATACAATGTGGTATGCACTTTTTCCAAAGACCTCTAGATGATCTTAAGGGGGTAAAAAAAGAAGAAAGAAGATACAAAGCTATTTGATAAGATTAGCTGACTGAATATTAAGTCCCATTCTAGTCATACTGCCTCAAAGTCTCTAAAAAAAGTATCGATAACAGAACAAATACAGACCACTACGAAACTATTAGCCAGTGTACACTCTGTGTGTACACCCTGTACAAGCCACAGCTTACCAATTAAGAAAAACTGAACTGTGTGCATTACAAATCAAGAACAACATGCTACAGAAGTTACATAGAAAAGCACACAACATTGTATAAAACATTTTATACAGAAGAATCTTAAATTCTGCAGCATTTACAACAGACAAATTAAAAGGTAACTATGTAAAAAGCCTACTGACAAATCACCCTGGGTAGGCAATCTTCAATTTCAAAAGACTAGCCAAAAGCAGAACTGTCCAACCTGCGTTAGCAACCAGTTTCTTTTAGGCAGCACAAACACTTCTGTAGAGAGGGTATATAACTCCTCCAACCAGAAGTGCAACAGGCCAACTGGCTGCTTTGGAAAGCACTCATTAAAAGAATAAATAAATAATAAAAAAAAAAAGTTAAGCAGTGCTGATAAGTCATAGAAAGTATGACTAATCATATATGAATAATGCACCTCTCAACAAAATGGTAATATTTTATAAAACTGTTTGTCCCACAACAGTCTCAACAGCTTTCCTTTTATTTTAGTCCACTACAGTAGATACATCTGCATATGTGCATGCACCCATCTGAACCTTCCAGAAGAATAATTTCACCGCAAAAGTCAGATAAGCTCTTACTACTAGTTGTTGCTAATGTGACAAAAACCCAGAAAAATGAACTCAACACAGCTCAGCTGTGAACTTACTGATTACAATTCGCAAAAGACTACAATAAATATATGGCACAAGATGAGCAGCGTTGTTTCCTAAGCTTTGGCGATACTGGAGCAGTTGAAAAAGGGAAACTTAATCAGCACATTTAGAGGACGTTTTTCCTACTAATCCGTATGCACAGAAGAAACCATTAAAGAAAAAGATATTTGCTGCAATTCAACCACATGCGATTACATGAAGAGGGACAAACCCGGTCAGAATTCAAACTTCATGGGATCTGTGGCCTCAAGGAAAAGCCAGGGCTCACTCAGAGCAACGCAAGTCCTGCAAGACGACGCTTCACTTGGTAGAATTACCGCAAACTTCAACCGCACAGACGGCCGTGATGCATCAGTTTTCTGCAAGGCTGGTGCCGCCAGGCCTAGGAAGGGCGTGTGAACACACGGGCCGTAAGGCGCTACGCCGGTCAGGATACGCCGCCCCCCACCGAGGCACTCACCACTTGGACGCTTTCCTCCGCTTCAAGTGGGCACTCGGAGGGCAGCCGGCGCTCCCCGGCGGCT